AAAAAGTGTTAGAGCTCGTTTACGGAACTAAAGGAAAGACTTGTCATAACACCATAGTTGTCCAACCTGACTGGACAACTCCCTTTGAACTGACGTGCGATGCAAGTGAATAGACAACTCAATTATTATTCTAGTCTTACACTTAATGAACCACAAATAAACTATACAAGGAGTTAGAGCATAAGGCTTATTAGACGATTAAGAAGCTCAACATGGATGCCCAGCTAGCTGGTGAGAAAAGGTGGCTAGTGCTAAATGAAATGAAGGGATTTCACGCTCATGCTTATGAAAATGATTGTCTATACAAGGAGAAGACCAAATGATGGTACGACAAAAATATTTGGTCGCGACAATTTCATGAAGGCCAACAAGTCCTCCTTTATAATTCAAGGCTGAAGCATTTTCTAGGCAAACTGAAGTCTCGATGGTATGGACCTTTTCAAGGGCATCATGTCTACCCGCATGGAGCTTTGGACATCAAAAATCTCAACGATGGCTCAATTTTTACGGTGAATGGCCAATGCCTCAACGTGTATACTGGGGGCCCTAATACTATAAGACTAGTCAGCACTTCTACTCTATGATGTGTCAGAGTTTGCACCACCCATTATTTAAATTCTTGCTATAACATTTATTTTCACAATTTGTATATAAATAAGTGTTTTAACTTAAAAATTTCTTTTCTTTCCTTTTCAGTTCAATTTTAACTCTATTTTGTTTCCTAGTTCATCCAAGAACACGTGCAACATGGGGAGGGAGCTCAAAAGATGACAAAAAGAAATCCTGGCAAATATTTTGGCTAAGGCAACAAAAAGGGGGGAAATCTCTTTTTATTATTTATTTATTTTTATTCTTTTTTAACTTTTCAAACTAACCAATCACATTCTAGGTAATTCTTACCTTCTTTTTTTCTTTCCTACCTTTACATTAACTCCCCCAAAACCACCCACTTTTTCTTTAATTTTTAATTTTTCTCTCAAACTTTTTCTCCTCCACCGATTTCTTCCGTGAAACTGCCGTTACTACCACAACAGAGTTTTCTTTTCTATTTTTTTTTCACAGCTACGATGGCCTATGCAAAAGTGTTTTTGGTGAGAGTTTTTCCTCTCAACCATCGTCGTAAACCCCTATTCAGAAATTTAAAGATTATACGGTGGAGGAGAGATTTTAGCATATAAAAAGTCAGTCGGTGTATTTGAAGCAAGGTTTTATTCTGTTGGTGGAAGGTGAAGAGCCTTTTCTATCTGAGGTAACTTTTTTCATAGGAAAGTACCATCGGGATGTTTTTTCTCAACATCCGGGTGATGTCACCCCATACATCGTGAGGGGATTTGATGTTCATCTCACCAAACCTACAAAGCATTGAATCTGGGTACGGGGGAGGAAAGTTCACTTCACATCGAAAGCCATAAACCTTTTCTTCAGACTAGAGAACGTGACCAACCATCATGTAAAATTTGTTTCTACGGTGGATGCTGAAACCTTCATGGAACTCCTGGATGATTTATACTTCCAAATGTCAAAATGGCTAGGGAAAATCTGAGCAAGTGGAGTGTGTAAAGACGTTGTCTGAACTCTCAAGCTAAGGTATGAAATCACTTCATTAAAACTCGATTAATACCTACCTCGCACCATACAATTGTCTTGCTGCAGTGGATGTTTCTGTTGTATTCCATCATTTTTGGGTACCTGATCAATGCAATTGAGGTCATTTTTCAAAAAGTTTATGACTGCCTCAAACAGAAAAAAGACGCTGATATTTTCAAACTTGATCACCGCCATGTGCAAAAAGAAGAAAGTGGAAAAGATATTTGAAGAAAATATCCAAACAAAGGATGTCATAACTATGAAATTGATTTCAAAGTTGATGGGTTTTGATGAGGATGTTCCTAAAGAGATTCTCAAACGAGGTGCAAAAGCTATTGTTGTTGAACGGATGACGACCATAGTAACCTCATCACAAGAAACAATGGAGTGCATTGAGAAGATGGAGACTAAGATGCATACTTTCTTCAGCTATGCGAAGCAAAAGGATGCAGTAATGTCCTCTTTTTTCAGGGAGATGCATCCTTTGAACACCGGTAGTTTTCCTTCATTCCTTGAATACATTTTAGAGGAGAAAAATAATGCCGTAGCATTTCATGTACAAGCCCCACACGCAATATACCGCCAGACCAAATAGAATACTGCCACACCTGCTGAAGTAGATCAATTTGATGAGGATGCCCACTCCAATGCTACCGAGCCCATGAAGCCCTATGACATTGAGACACTTGATACCCGCCCCTCTTTTGATGTTGAGGATAAAGAGATTCCTTCACCATGGAAACAAAATCTTGTCCATCCTGATGATCATGAGAAGACCGATAAAGAAGCTGTGTTTGATTTTGTTGCTAACATTGAGGAAATTGTAATACCCCAAATTTTGGTTAGTGACCAAAATGTAATTTTTGAAAGTTTGATGGTCAAAGTATAAAACTTGGAAGAAATTTTAGGAAATTAATTGGTAAAGTTCTTGAAAAGAATTTTATTTCATAAATAGACAGTTTACTCTTGAGAGTGGGGTTTTATGGAATTATATTTTGAATTTAGAATTTGGTAAAGAAAAAAATTAAAAATGGTTAAAACCGATAAGGAATTGGTAATTTCAGATTGAATTGGAATCTTACAAAAATTTGAAAGATGTTATAAAATAGTTGGAAATATTATTTTAATATTTTGGATCAGATAAATTTGGTATGGAAATATGCAATTCTTTAGATTTAATCGAAACAGTGGAATTTAGTGACTAAAATGCAATTTTGAAATTTCATGGGAAAATTCAGAAATATAAAGTCAAAATATTTCATCTTTGACTTTGAATTATGATAAGGATGAGTTGTCATGGTTTTATGGTAAATAGAAAGATTCATTAAGGGTGATTTGGTCATATCCCAATTAAATGAATATAATATTCATTTATAGTGGAATATAGAGTAAAATAAGATGAATGCACCCAAATTTGCTATCTTCTTCTCCAAATCAGCCGTGGGTTCTCTCTAAGGTAAGGGAAAGATTCAACTCAAATTTCAAGTAATTTACTTAGGATTTTGAGTAAGTTGTAAATAGAAAATTGTTATACATGAAAAACTCTATCTTTTGGTACCAATATTGCATGGTAATCTTGTTGGTGTCCAAAGATCCCAGATTTAAGGGTTTGTGTTCATATAAAGGATCATGAAATTGATGATGGATTTTGATGTTTATGGGGTAGTAGATTCATATTCAAGCATGTGTGATGATTAGAAATGTTTAATCTTTTTAGAACTTGTTCTATGAGTTTTGGTCATGGTTTGTTTGAGTGAGAAAAATTATGGAAAAATTATATATTGGTTGGAAATGATGAAGGAAGTTTTCTAAAAGTCTTAGAAAATTTAGAGGACCATTTCAAAATTTTTGTAAAGTTGGAGATCAATTCGTAAATTCTGGAAAATTGAGGGGTTGTTGTATAAGTGTTATATAATTGATGTACTATGCTGGAATTTTTGGTATTAGAATCTATGTGATAAAATGGTGAAGGTCCATTTTATGTAATTGGAAAAGTTGATGTCAATTTTAAAAAGGAATTATTAAGTGTTAAAGATTTGGTAGAAAATGAGTTTCAAGTGTATTATGGAGTTTTTATGGGATGTGTTATGTTAGTACAGTACTAACATAAATATTTTTTTGAATTGTGATTTTATACAGATTTTTATTTAAGTGTGATTGAAGAAAATCAAGTATAAAAGAGATTTTATGGATCGTAGTGAGGCATACATATTGTGGATTATATAAAGTGTCAAGGTGAGTGCAATACATGCATGACATGGTACATAGATGTTTTATACATCATGTACATAGATGTTTTATCCATCATATGGAAGACTTACGACAAGTCGACCTTGTTTTATCAATTTGAGATTTGATATGGAAGTTATTTTGGGTATGAACTACCCTAATGTTTATACAAGGTTATACGTTTCCATGGATGATTTAATTGATGACTATATACCCAAATATATTATTGAGGTTAAGTGGTATTAATGGTATGCCATAGAGTCTAGCAGTTGCAGAATTAAGTAGTACTATAGTGTCAAATAAGATACATAGTACAAGTTAGGTGGGTAAAACCCAACCTCAGTACTATGGTGCATTATTAGGTGAGCGAAGCTCAACCTCAGCACTTTTGTGCACTATCTGACTCCTATACCGGGTTCCTCATAGATTGAGAATTATGGGCAGTAGTTGTGGTAAAATGATTTATTATATTATGTTGTTTTGATTTTGGCCCTTTAAAAATAACATTAAATTTCATACGTAATTTGTATTGCACCTTTATGGTTTTAAATTTGCCTCACTAAGTATATACTTAGCGTTTGATGATTTTCACGCGTAGGTAAAAAGCCCGTAGAGGAATAGAGAGTTCAAGGCAACATCAAGCATCAAGAAGTATTATTTACCATTTTAAGAAAATAAATTTTAAATCTTTTTTGAAATGATAAAATGGTTTTAGAAATTCAGATAACATTTATAATCTGTATAGGTATAATTATACGGATTATGGGTGTTACATTTATTGGCATCAGAGCTACAGGTTTAGCCGATTGTAGGACTAAACCGAATTTATTTTGAATTAAAAAGTATATACATGCCACTAGGATGTCAAAAGTTACTGATAGTTGTATATATACTGTGATGATGCTTATTAGGAGTAAAGTTACTATTTACTAATGGACGATGATTTTGACTGTGTTCAGATGTCAGATCATCAAGAATCGAGTAGGGCAGGTGAGCATGTTACTCCTGTTCAGAGTGGGAGTAATGAGGTGAACCAGAATCCACCCAATGCTCAGCCGAATGTAGAGTTATCTAATCTGAATCAAAGGGATATGCCTGTACAAGATCGGGGATTGTTTTTATAAGTACTAGACAATATTATTAACCGTCGAACCCCATTGTCAGTTCCGAAAGAACTGAGGAAGATGAGAGCACCTGAATTTCGAGGTGATTCGGATACTAATTCGATGGCTGCTGGTTTCTGGTTGAATGATGTCAAGAATATGCTCAACAGGGTTCTTTATGATGATCAAGGAAAGTTGGATGGGGTTATGTCTCTACTGATAGAGCAAGCCAGTGTGTGGTGGAATACGGTCGTAGCACGAGTTTCCACTGAGCAGATTACATGGGAATTCTTTCTGAGGGAATTCATGGAAATGTATATTGGGGACGTGTTTGTCAATGAGATGATGCAACAGTTCCTAAACTTAAAGCAATCCGGCAAAACAATTTATGAGTACGAATGTGAATTTCACAAGCTGAGTCGATTTTCTTCGGAGTTTATTCCGACTGAGAAATCTAGAATTGATAGATTTGTTTCTGGGTTAGATTCTCAGTATAAGAGAATTTTGGTTTCCCATCATTTTACTGCTTTTCAAGAAGTAGTTAACAAGGCTAAAGCTATGGAACAGTAACCACATTTTAGCAAATTTTCCATAATATAAAAGGGGAATCGATTCCCCTAACAGGGAACAGATTCCCCCACTGTTCATTGTTACTGTTCACGGGTACTATTCACTATTCATATAAAAAACCTTTTGAATTAAATTGGTTACAACGAAACATGATTTATATGATATGGTATTTTTATAATATTATTTACCATTTTATGAAAATAAATTTTAAATCGTTTTTGAAATGATAAAATGGTTTTAGAAATTCGGATAACATTTATAATTTGTATAGGTATAATTATACGGATTATGGGTGTTACAGATATCACGCCTTTGCCCGTGCAACCACAACCTATTGAACTGTTCCTGACCAGACATCAATTGAAGAGGTCAGCCAGGCTTGCAGATGAAACCTCTTCTAAAATATCTAAGGTTGCAACCCCTAATAAAACCACCGAACAGACCGAGCTAGAAGAATCAACCCTTAAGTAAAGACACATCAGACATAATAGGGATAAAAGGTTAGGGGAAGTATTGCCCATAGTTAAGCATTTACATCGATAGTATTAGTAGAATTATGTTATGGCATTTAGTTAGGTTAAGTTAGTTTCTGTTGAAATAAGTTAATGATTCCCGATGATGAGATGAGAAATTTTTGCCATGGCTATGAATTGAATGTACATGATTGTTAGGATTAATAGGACCAAATTTAAAGTTTGATTCTTTGTGAACCTTGATACACGATTGTATGTTTTTCATGCTTAAAGAACTTATAATTTTTTTATGAAAAAACATTTGCCTATTGAAACTCCCTTTTGCTTAAATGTTGTTGAATTACGAATAAATGGTTTGACATAATTGTAGAGGAACACTCCTCTTTTCTATAGCAGTGCATGGACACTACGTTTCAATAAATAGGAACTATGACATAAAAATGAATGAAAGCAGTCACGAGATAACTCTTTCTGACTAGCTCAGGGATTGAAGGTATGCTCTCATTCAACTAGAGTGTGGTATGGTAATTATGATAGGCTGACTCCCCTCGTAGTAGTGTTAAAAAAGTTAAGTTAAATTTATGTTAAGTTAATGTTAATGGGAGTAAATGTGTGCTTAATTGGTAATGAAATGCTAAAACAGAATAAGAAACTTGATTAGAATTTTTCTAACTTTGTTACGCATGAATTGGATGCAATAACTCACACATAATAAAAAGGTTCTTGCTCTATTGAAAATTTCTTAATATCCTGAATTATCTAGAATGTTGAAGCCATTTATTTATGAGGGCTGAAATTTTATCCAACATTACTGTCCTGACTAAACTTCTGCCATAACATTATTTTATGCTAATCATTATCCATTGCTTGAGGACAAGTAATAGCTTAAGTTTGGGGGTGTGATAACCCCGTAAAAATTTTATATTTTGTGCATTTTTATTGGAGTTATTGTTTGTTTTAAAGCCCATGTCATAGCATTTAGAGTGCATTTTGGTCATATAGTTGCATTTGGCTGTACAGTCTTGCTACGAAATAAATTTATTGAAAATTGGTGTTGTTGAGGGAAATGTCTTGCTATTGTGGTGTTATGCAGGCAATTGAAGATAAAGGAGAAAACGTGGCTATTGAGGCATGCTGGAGAAATTGTTGCTGTAGCATTCTGGAGATGAAAAGCTGAAAGATTTCCCATAACAAAATATGGCTAGTAGACCTAGAGCAAAAAAGACAAAATAGCAAAAATATATTTGCTTAGCTCTCTGGCCATATGTGACGCACTACCCCTGCTGCAAATTTGAAACACCTGCCACAAATAACTGCCCATTCATGTGAGAAGGATGTCACCTATGGTTCAAAGGGAATTTTGGGACCAAAACCGTAGAAATATTCCCTCTATAAATACCTAAGGTGCCCTACCTTTTAAAGAGACTTTTGGAAAACCTTGGGAGATGACCTAGAGAAATGCGACTACTGATTTCCATTTTATTCTTTATTTTTCATCCCCATTTTGCGGTGTCCTCCATACTGAGCTTTAAAGGAGGTAGCAGCTAGACCTTGAGAGAAGCTAGCTTACTAAAGTGGTGCATGGTGGTGGAGCTAAGTCATGACAACAACTCATTTTGGGAGTCTTCTTCTCTTTATGCTTTATTTTTCTATCTTATTTGGGCTTGTACTAAACTTGAATATTCTTGGATGAACTTAGCCACACCATGTATTACCTTATTTGGTGTTGGATGATTTATTTTGTGTTAATGAATCAATGGATGTTTTATGTTTTAAATGTTATTTTGCTCACTATTTATCTTTATGCTATGTACCATTGTAAGAGCGTTTGAGATATTATCGTTTGTTGTAGCATAATATGCTTAGTATTGTAAGAGCTTTTTAGAGATTGCCATTTTCTAAGTATAAATAACTAGTATTGAGAGAGTTAGATTAGATCTATGTGAGCAAGGGAGCCAAACCAAGATGGGGATGTTCTAACCTGCCTTAGAGATAAGGAGAGGGTTTCATTCAACTAAAAAGGACATGACTTAGTCGATAGGCTAGTGTTGCAGTTCATACTGAGAGGTATTATCGTAGCATATGTTTTATCAGGTTCATTGCTTGAGAAAGTTTAGGAGTATTTTTAGCTAATCCTGTCGGGAAACATACTCATAGAAACATATATCATCCTTAGCATAGAATATTTTTTCAATTGCAAATTCATTCCATTTACCTCTATAGAAGTTTGATTGTGTGAGGTTGTCAGTCTTATCTCGTTTTCCAAAGTTCAGATTATTTTCTTGCTTTAGCATACTTTTGCATTTTACTTAAATTCTTGTCTTAGAACACTTTTATATTTTCAACAATTTTTACCACATCAATTTCACTCCACTTCAATTAATTCTTACCACAACATTCCATTACAATTTATACATATCATCTGTCACAACTATACTTTCATTTGTTTATACCATTATACTTAGATTAGTTAGTTTTAGTTTTAATTTGTGATAGTTTTTATTTACTATAGCTAGCTTTTAAAATACCTCCAATTATTGTGGAGGCGATACTAACTCTCTACTGTATTACTTGTATCGATAGTGTATACTTGCATAGATTTGCTTGCCATAACACTATATATTTACACAAGATCAATGGCAAAACATTGTCCTCTTTTCTAGCCATAGATGCTTGATTACAACATCTTCTAAAAGTCCTTTCTATCTTCGGATCAAATGGATTTAATTCTTTGTCACTGCGGGACATAAACTAATAGAACTGAAAACTAATAATTACATTAAAAAAGAAATAAAACAATGAGTAAACACTAAAAGAAACTCTAAAGTAAAACTGTTGCTCCCCAGCAAGGGCGCCAAAAACTTGGTGCTTGCTAAATACTATAGCAAAATAATAAGTATACACAAATTCCCAAGTACTAAAGTAGTAACTCAAAGAGCTACAAGTATCGTATCCGCAGGAAGCAATGGGTTTCCATTAGAATCTAAATTAGTAAAAATTATGGGTTTTCCATGATGTAGGTCACACAAAATAAAAATCAAAGTATGAAAATCCAGGTTATGCTACAGTACTGCAGAGAGCGTGTTGTCAACAATCCAATAGCATGAGATGAAATGATGAAATATTTACTTTAATTAAGCTAAGTAGACTACTTCTATATGATTAGCAATCATTAAAACCCCTTGAATTTCGTTAATTAACTTTCATTAACTAAGGAACTCAAAGTATTAACAATGATAAACAATTTTTGTATATTCCTCAATATACATTATGCCACTAAGCAAAACCAACGCTATCAAAGCTACACAATAATTCAATCAAATCTATTTCTATAAAATAGTTGAAATACCATACTTTTAATTACAAATATTTCTACTAGAAATCTTTAAGCAAAATAGCACACAAAATATGTTTCATAGCAAAACATAAAGTAAACAACACAAAATAACATCCATAGAGCTGAAAGAACATTCAAAGTTACTCCCTATCTCAAACAGTAAACTTAGAATGATGATTCGTAGATTGCCGATGCTACTTAGTAAGCTCTCTTAAAGCCGCAATATTCCTTGGCTGTGGCATAAGCTACCATGGCGAATGATTAATAAACGTGAATGGTTTAGAAAAATCCTATCTTATTTTCACCTCACAAGGTGCCTCTATTTATAGGATTGAGGAAATCTCTATTTTCCAATTATATGCCTCCACATTTCAGGTGTTTTCCAGCCAAATGACAGCTGCCCTTGCTAGCTATCCCATCCAAAAGGTTATTCTAACCTCCTGATGAGTCATCGGTTGTTGCAGCATCCACTCAACATCTCCTGTAGCTTCAACCACTCGCTACAGTGTCAACATAATATTTTTCTATATTAAAATTTCAAATCAGCCCTAAATAACCCATTGAACTCTGGTAATGCAAACTATGTAAAAAGTAAACAAATATGATCCTAAAATGCTTCTAAAAATACTCAAGTTGAAACTAGACCTATGTATAAAGGATCCTAATGATAACGTTTTTTTTTGGAGAATTATCAATTTTCTTGATTGTTAAGTAGGCTATATGCTTTAGTTGCACATGAAGATGGCACACCTTACTATAAACCAGATTGAAAGATGACATCCCCGGTGGTGTCTTGAATGTTATGTGATATGCCTCTAGTGCTTCATCTAGCTTGGGCGACCAGTTTTTTTTCTTGGGGTTCACCACGTTCTTAAGGATGTGTTTAATCTCTCATTTAAAGACTTCAGCTTACCCGTTGATCTATGGGTGGTATATTGTAGCAATCTTATGCTTCACCCCATATCGTTCCAATCCTTTAGTAATTAACTTATTATCGAAGTAAGTGCCCTCGTCATTTATGATTGTTCTAGGTTCCTCAAACCTAGTAAAGATGTTCTTTTGAAGGGACTTCAGCACAGTTTTAGAGTCATTCATCGAAGCAGCTACGATCTCAACCCACTTGGATACATAATCAATGGCTAGGAGGATGGAGAGGTTGCCAAAGAAATATGGGGAGGATCACATGAAATGTATTCCCCATACATTAAAAAGTTTCACTTCCAAAAAAATTTTCAATGGCATTTTACGTCTCCTAGAAATGTTGCTAGTGCGTTGGCATCTATCACATGCCATGTAGAACTCGTGTGCATCTATACAAAGTGTGGGCCAATAGAATCCAGATTATAGGACCTTTGCAATAGTCCTAACTCCCCCAAAATGGCTTCCACATGGAGCGATATCGTAATAGAATAAAATATCCTTTTTCTCTCATCTAGGTACACACCTTCGAATCACTTGATTGGCATACTACTTGAACAAATAGGGCTTGTTCCATTGGTAGAATAACACACCATGCCTGAACTTACTTCCTTTTGCCCTGGCTCTTTAAATCAAGAGGAAAAAGATCACTAACAAGAAAGTTAACTATGTCAGCGTACCATGGAATTATCGCGGCAAATAAAATTTTCTATTCAAACAATTCCTCTTGTATTCTTAAATTATCACGGCATTTAGTTTTGTTTTCTAGCCTAGATAAGTGATCATCAACTTGATTTTCTATGACTTTTCTATTCTTCACCTATAAGTCAACCTCTCGGAAAAGAAGTTTCCACCTAATAAGTTTAGCTTTGGCATTCTTCTTAGTTACTAAGTACTTGATAGCTTAGTGATTGGTGTAAACTATGACTTTGGTGCTATTAAGTATGTCCTAAACTTATCAAAAGCAAATACTACAATAAGGAATTTTTTCTCGGTGGTTGTATAGTTAAGTTGTGCTTCATTTAAAGTGTGGCTAGTATAATAAATAACATGGGATATCTTACCTCGTATTTACCCTAGTACTACGCCCACAGCATATTCGCTTGTGTCACACATAAGCTCGAATGGAGCATTATAATCTAGTGGGATGACTATGAGTGCTGAGATAAGTCTCTCCTTCATCTCATTGAATGTACTGTAGCAATCTTTGTAAAAAATGAAAGGTTGATTCTGCTATAGCAAAATACACATAGGCTTGGAGATCTTGAATAAGTCTTTTATAAATCTCCTCTAGAACCCTACATGCCTTAAGAAGCTTCTTATACCCTTCACAGTGGTGGGTGGAGGTAGTTTCTTAATCACTTCAACTTTTTTTCTTCTTCATATCTATCCTTTTGTGTGAGATCTTATGCCTTATCATTTTGCCTTCAGTTACCATAAAGTGACATTTCTCCTAGTTCACATTAGGTCAACTTCTTCGTATCGCTTCAACACCTTTGCTAAATTGTCAAGGCATTTTTAAAAATCATCGCATGAGACGGAGAAGTCATCCATAAAGATCTCCAAAAAGTCTTACACCATGTCTAAAAAGATGACCAACATATACCTATGGAAAGTTTCTGGAGAATTACAAAGTCCAAATGGCATCCTCCTAAATGCATAAGTACTATATGGGCAAGTGATGGTCGACTTCTCTTGATCTTCCGATACTATAGTAATCTGGTTGTACCTTGAGTATCCATCTAGGAAGTAATAAAAAGACTTGTTCACCAATCGATCCAGTATTTGGTCGATGAAAGGTAGGGGAAATGATCCTTGTTGGTCGCCTTGTTGAGATTATAATAGTCCATGCTTATCCTCTACCCTGTCACAGTTCGTATGGGTAGGAGTTCATTGTCCTCATTACTTACCACG